TGAACCCCAATCTACCACCGAAGTGAGATCAGATTCAAGATCAGCTGCTTGTTCTAGGCGATCGAAAAGAGAAGACTTTTTGTCAAGACAGGAGTATAAAGTTGAGTCATCAGCAAAAAGAGCTACTTTAGATGAAAGGTTGTCAGGAAGATCGTTTATGTAGATAAGAAACAAAACAGGGCCCAGGATGGAACCTTGGGGAACCCCAGATGTTACTGGAAATAAAGAAGAGTGTTGGCCTTCAAGGATGACTTTAATAAACCGGTCAGAAAGAAATGATTTGATGATCTCAAAAACTTTCCCAGAAACACCATATGAAGCAAGCTTATGGAGAAGACCAGCATGCCAAACTTTGTCGAAAGCTTTAGATATGTCGAGAGCAATAGCCCTAGCCTCACCGCCTCCATCTAATGCACGATAAAATCTTTCAGTTACAGCAGTTAGCAAGTCGGCCGTAGAGCGAGAGGATCGAAAACCGTATTGATTGTCTGACAGCAGTTTATTTGACTCAAGATGAGATGTGAGGAATTTGTTGATTAAAGACTCAAAGACCTTGCTAATAACAGAAAGAAGACTGATCGGACGATAATTGGAGGGGTCAGAATTTTCTCCAGAGTTTTTGAATATTGGAACCACAGATGCCATTTTCCAACAAGCAGGAAAACAAGACTCAGTCAAACACTTGTTAAATAGTTTAGAGAGAATTGAAGAAAGTTATGGAGAACAATTCTGCAAGACTGTGACAGGAATGTTGTCTGGACCACAAGCTGTAGACGAGTTTAATTGAGATATGACTTTAGCAACAGAAGCCGGAGTGATTTGAATGTCTAACAATGGGTCAACCTGTTTGACTGGAATGGAAGGAAGAGAATGTCCATAAGATTCAAGAGTGGAATTAGAAGAAAAGTTCTTTGCAAACAGTTCTGCCTTATCCCTGGCAGAGGTAACAAGATCAGTCCTATGAATGAGAGATGGAATGTTAGATCTACCCTTGTTAACAATGCTGTTGAAGATTTTCCAAAAGTATTTAGAGCCTAACTTCTGCGA